ACACTATATGCACTACACAAACAGGCACACAGTATCCAATATACACACTGCATCCACTTTCCTCACACACTCTATCTGCATTCAATACACACATATACACACATTCGCTATACATACACCACATCAATTATAAACACACACTGCATCCACTTTACTTATACTAATGGGCAGACTCAGGGGTGGGGCCTATGGGCAGACTTGGGGGCAAGCTCCTGGGCCCCAGGCCTGGAGTTGTGTAATTCCTGATGGCAGTCCTGCAGGTAAGTTAAACTCACCTTTGCCTGCCCTCCCAATCACCAGACCCCCAGTGGCGGTCACCATTAGAATTTTGGATATTATGCAACGTCACCAAACGGTGGCAGTGACGCATTAAATCTGTCCCAAGTAGGTTTGACATTTTAATATCCTTTAGACAATTTCTATTGATATTCTCCTGAAAGCACCCTGGAGTATGGCAATTAATTATACGAAACGTTAAATATCTGGTGAAGATTTCCAGCAAACATTGTGAGCAAAGTGTGTCTGCATTTTTAAGTCTACGATTCTACTTGGGGGAAAAAATAAAAGTCCACCTGAGAATAAAATTAAACAATTTGTTCCAAAATATCAACTTCACGTGGAAAGATATAACCTGGTTAACAATAAATTGCAAATAACAATTTTAAAACCACAAGTTCATTCACTACTAGAGTATGATACTGACGCGGGTCATGGAGAATGATGGGCCAGGAGCTGTACGAGTTTCCTGACAGTGACTATAAGGGAGAGTTTCAGGTAAGTATACTTACCTACAATTTTACCTCTGCAGTGCAAAGAGGGATTTTACCTTTGGGAGAAAAACACTTTGTTAATTGCATGTAGTTTTTAATTTCCTTTCCCAACTGTGTAATTTTGGAAGTGACCCACCTTGCATGATATGACCTATTCACAGGGGAAAAAAATATGTAAAATAAATAATTTAAAGTAAGATGCCCTTAAATCCCTGCTTTGGTAATTAGAAATTATCACAGAACTCTGCACACACCAGGAAGTAGATTTAACCCAGGACCACAAGGATCAAATAGACACCTAGCTATCTGCCACATTTCTAATCTCTGCTAGAGGCGTCACTCACCTGCACAAAACTGCAAGAACTAAAACTAATCATTTTGAGCAAAATCTATCAAAAATTATTGGTTCCTGGAATGTCCCTTTAATTCTTAATTTCATAAAAAGTACACTTGGGTTCCACTGGACCCCCGAGGCACGCAGAATATACCAGAAAGCAAAACTGTAACTGTCTGCCATCTTTACAACCAAAACTCCCAGCAGTCTTTTATGTTTTATACACACGAGCAGTGCGCAGTGGGAGCAGGGCCAGATTAAGAGCCCAGTGGGCCTGGTGCTGACAATTATGACGGGCCTAATTACAGAATCATATCGACCAAAAAAAGTAAAACACTCCCAAGCGTCATGTATCTGATGGAGATGGTGCTGGAGAGAAAGAAAACAGCAGCTATAAGAAAACACATACCCTAGGCTAATCTTTCTCTAATTTATGTTTTCATCTTTTAAGTAAATCCATAACCCCTAACAGCAGTGTTCAGTCAAGCAGGAAGTCAATGAGCGGGGTAAAAGGGTGTGCCACTGACACAAGTCACGTAACCTGCCAAAAGGGGCGAACATGCCCAAAAAGAGGATATGTCTGCCCAAAGAATTAGAAGGCCAGCCTGGTATGAATGCATGTCAGGCTGCCTGCCAATCATGCAGCTGGCCAACTAAGGGCATACTATGCAGACAGCACCCTGAGCTTGGCATAAATGCATCTAATGATGCGCTCGCTCAACGCTTTCTAAGGACTGTCCCCTAACACTCGCTGGTCCACTTGTCTCGTTACCTTCTAACTAGCAAGCAGAAGCTCCTGGTATATGGTCTGGGACAGAGAAAAGCTGTATGTAGTGAGTGTAGAAGAAAGGGAACATGCCACAGTGTTAGAGAGACCAAAGTCAGCATTACCTTAAAGGATCACTATAGGGTCAGGAACACAAACATGGATTCATGACCCTATAGTGTTAACACCACCATCTAGCCCCCCTGGGCCCCTCATGCCTCCATAAATATAGCAAAATCTTACTGTATTCAAGCCTGAAGCTGTAACTCTGCATGCTGTTAGACTCAGAAAAACAAGCAGTCTGGTGACATCATTAGAAGTGATGGTCTAATCCAATCACAGTGCTTCCCCATAGGATTGGCTGAGACTGACAAAGAGGCAGATCAGGGGCAGAGCCAGCATGATTCAAACACAGCCCTGGCCAATCAGCATCTCCTCATAGAGATGAATTGAATCAATGAATCTCTATGAGGAAAGTTCAGTGTCTGCATGCCGAGGGAGGAGACACTGAATGTTTGTATGCATTTTAGGCAGCCATGACCCAGGAAGGATCTCTAACAGCCATCTAAGGAGTGGCCAGTGAAGTTATCACTAGGCTGTAATGTAAAGACTGCATTTTCTCTGAAAAGACAGTGTTTACAGCAAAAAGCCTGACGGTAATGATTCTACTCACCAGAACAAATTCAATAAGCTGTAGTTCTTCTTGTGACTATACTGTCCCTTTAACTATATTCATTGTCAGCCAGTCCACACAAGTTTTGTTCCCATACATCCCTCTTAAGTTTCCATACTTAAGTAAGAGTATGTGAAAAGTAGTTAGGGTTGCCACCTTTCTTGGAAAAACATACCGGCCTTGCTAATTTGCATAATTAAATATGTATGGGTGACATCACATGATTTAAATCACAAGGAGTGACATAAGAGAAAATGCTATAAAATCACCAAAAAACTACTTAGTTTGATTCTGCTGTATATATGGATTCCTCCCAGTGGCCCCATGTGTCGATTACTCCAGGTCTCAATGTTTCTATGTATCAGTGTCTCAGTGCCCCATGTCTCCCAGTGTCCCCTAGTGTCGTGTCCCCAGGTCTCCCAGTGATCCTATGTATCACAGTGTCTCAATGCCCCATGTCTCCCTGTGTCCCCATGTATCAGAGGGTCCCCATGTCACTAGGAAGACGGGAAGACCTGGGGACACAGGGAGACCTAGGGACATGGAGACACCAGTGACACTGGGAGACTAGGGGACTCTGACTGGGACGCATGGGGACACTGGGAAAACAGGGGACACTTGAAGACATGGGGACATAGACACCAGGGACACAGACACTAGAGACACTGGCTGGGGGACATGTGGACATTGAGACATGGGGGCACTGGGAGACATGGGGACAAGGAGACACCAGGGCCACTAGCTTGGAGACATGGGGACATTGAGCCACTTGAGGCACTGGGAGACATGGAGGCACTAGGAGACACGGGGACAGTGAGACACTGGCAGACTGCAGGCACTGGGGGACTAGGGGGCACTGAGACACCAGGGACACTGGCTGGGAGACATGGGGACACTGTGTCCCCATGGGTCTGTGTCATAATGTCTCCCAATGCCCCTTAGTGTCTCAGTGTCTGCCATAATGTCTCCCAATATCCCTTAGTGTCTCTGTGTCTGCCATAATGTCTCCCAGTGTCCCTTAGTGTCTCAGTGTCTGCCATAATGTCTCCCAATGTCCCTTAGTGTCTCATTGTCTGCCATAATGTTTCCCAATGTCCCTTAGTGTCTCAGTGTCTGCCATAATGTCTCCCAATGTCCCTTAGTGTCTCAGTGTCTGTCATAATGTCTCCCAGTGCCCCTGTATGTCTCCTTGCAGCCTTTCCCCCCACCCCTTACTTCCCTGAGCTGTAGGCTGTCTCTGCAGGGTGAGAGTTGCTGTCTGGACTCTCTGTAGCTGCACCCCTGCAGATCAGTGAGTACAGATAGGCAGGGAGGGATTTGCTGGAACTTCCTATCCCTGCCTCTCTCTATACACAGTGACCCCTACTGGCCAGTGCTGGTATCGCAGAGTAATCTCTTGTTTATACTGAGAAAAATACCAGCATTTGTATTGCCAATACAAAAAAAAAAAGTCAAAAAAATATATATATATTCTTTTTAATAAATCAGTGGGCCTATTCCATGGGCCTGGGCCTGGAGCTGCAGCTCCCTCAACCCCTATGTTAATCCGGCCCTGAGTGGGAGGTAGTGCCAGGCTGTGCCATGTCATTCGCATAGGTTAAATATTTATTTATTTAGTTTATTGCCTTGTATACTACCTACAAGAAGCTGTCTGAATAACCATAGTAAAATTGGATATCATTACATTGATTGAAGCTTGACTGGATAATAGTTTCATTATAAGGCACAATAGACAAGGGGGGAGAGGTCATTAAAGCCAGCAAATATATTTTTGTGATGGCAGGTAATGTGTAACTTCATTAAATACATTTTGATTGTTCCAGTTTTTGCTCGAACAGTGCCCTGCCACCAGAGTTAACATAGCGATTACTAATATAATATGGTACTAATTACTCATACTAATTACTAATATAATATGGTCTGTGCACCAACCCATCCTGTTTATTCGGCACACCTTGGCACACATTGGATTCTTGTATAGATTTGATGATGAAATGATCTGATATCAAACAAACTTAATAATGGAGTTTATGAAATCAGGGGTGGCGATATTTGGGTGCTTGTGCTGTTGATCCTCTTGGGTGTAAGCAATGTAAAACTTTTTATGCATTAATAGATAGAAGAAATGATTTATTTGTTTCATAGCACTTGATCATTCAGACCTTGAGATCAACAGGAACATGTAGAGGTCGGGTCAACCCCTCATACTGGGCCTCCAGAGTCCATCAAACTCCAACTCCAACCAACCGTTGCTAGCGATGTGAGCCCCGAAGTCAAAGCATCATAGGAGAACCTCTTTAACTCCCCGGGGCAGATACTTAAATACCAAAGATTTAGAGGCCAAGATTAGTGATGTCCCGAACGGTTCGCCGAACGGTTCGCCACGAATGGTTCGCCACGAACGGTTCGCCACGGACTCATCATTGAGTAAACTTTGACCCTGTACCTCACAGTCAGCAGACACATTGCAGCCAATCAGCAGCAGACCCTCCCTCCCAGACCCTCCCACCTCCTGGACAGCATCCATTTTACATTCATTGTGAAGCTGCATTCTTAGTGAGCTGTCCAGGAGGTGGAAGGGTCTGGGAGGGAGGGTCTGCTGCCGATTGGCTGGAATGTGTCTGCTGACTGTGAGGTACAGGGTCAAAGTTTACTCAATGATGAGTCCGCGGCGAACCGTTCGCGGCGAACCGTTCGGCGAACCGTTCGGGACATCACTAGTTAAGATTACTAAAGTGTGAACTGTCAGAAATTCAGAGACAATTCAAATCAAAGTTCATATTTTCAGCCACTATAGCTGTATTGGAATAATTCTGTAAACCAGCAATATGTTCATTTTAACCTAAAAAGGGATATTAAGATAATTCCATTTGCTAATCATATAGATCAGGCACACGGTGGATCCGCAGAGGTTTGTAGGACTGCAAGTTCCATGATGCTTTGCTGACGAGTCCTATCTCCTTCAAAACAGCAAGCTTTATTTGAAATTACCAAAATCATTAGTTCTCTCACTTTCAGCAATTTTTCCAGCTAAGCTATTTTAGGTTAAAATTAGAAATTCCTTTTTTTTCTTAATTCTCCACAGTTTCCAGTCTTGGGACTAAATCCTCTAGTTCATCATAGGAAATCATTTAACCATGTGCTTGCTGGGTAGCAGACAGGCCAATCTGTCTGTTGCTGTAATAAAATTGCTGCGGCTGCCTTACTATCACTGGGCCACTAACTGGCAGCATATCCCTACTTTTCAATTCTTCCTCTCAGTGTTTCCATGGAAACTGGTAGCCATATTTCCTCCTATCTCTGTTTTATTGGCCTCTAGAAAATACATTAAAATTTCACAACTACCCTGGTTATTCTGATTTTCCCCTCCCAAAACTATATTATCACATCTCTCAAAATGGTTATTCAATAAACATAATAATCATTCAAAATATGTTTGCAATCCAGTAATGTATAATAAATGTATTGTAATATGCAGCATCAAACCAGGAAGATTATTAAATTAACATACTGGGCACAGGTCTTTCTAAGCATTTAGCTGCTGGTGCTAGAAGCCACGTTCTGGTAGCAAGGCCACGTTCAGCAGACCACTCACCATTTTCCAAAACTGTCCCTAGTCCAGTCCCCACTGACTGTTTGAATTCAGCTAAATCGTATAGTCCCTGTATAGTTTATATGTCACTGAATTTTCTTTCTTTTTTGTCTACATTTTAGTTATTTGTAGCACAGCCAGGGCACTTATGTTATTTTTTTTTAATTGTATTTTATTTATTTTTTAAAACAGATTTTCACTAAATTGTAAATTGGGGCTGAAAATAGCAACAAAAAACCCCAATGTGATTTATTTTCTTTATTGTTTTTGTTTTTCTATGTAACTATAATGTCCTATAAGCTATTTGCACCCAGGCTTTCCAGTTGACTGTTTGATAAATGAACCCCTTTAGCACCTTTAAACAGTCCTGTCACTGGACACGGAATGCCAAGACCCAAGCATTCCATTATAAATCACTTTTGTAGTAAGTTACCATTCTGATGCGGGTGATTTAACTTCCTGTACTCTATATATCTGCTTGTTAATTATTTTGTAATGAATACATAGGTTACCGTTTTGGCGTCTCCTGACTTACTCTTGCTTTGTGGGGGCTGCAATCTTTAGTCCTCTTTGGTCGGAAGATCCAGTTATCTTCTAACCATGCTCAAAATAAAGATCTGAAGCCTTCTCGGAATGCATTTTTGTGAAGCCTGGCATCTCCACGTGACTGCAGGACAGGACATACACTATCTTATGATTGCTGCGTAGTTTATGGTCTGATAACCTGTGCTTCCGCCCAATATTGCAAAAGTCCCGACAACTGCTATTTAATAAAATGCCTGTATGACAAACTTACATAATTTCAATGGTATAAAAACATACATTTTTAACAATATCTGCTAAAATGAATAATGGCATCATGCTTCTAAAAGTTTGTCAGCTTTTGGGATCATTCTGACATTTTGCTCATAGAGGAGTCTGTGCCAGCCCTGCCCAGATCACCCCCACAATTTCACCATTATTACAGACTGTAACGATTGAGGAGAAATCAAAATTACCCATATCTCTTGCTTTTCCTACGAAAGCTTCCATTCATTTGGACGGAGAAATATAATCCACTTTCTGTAACAACTTCAGCGAAACCGATCAACCTTCGAACTAGGAGACTCTGTTTACTCTTTTGCAAGCAAAGCAAACAGAATCTGCAAATTCCTGAGAGCCAAAACTCCCAGTAACAGGTATGGGATAGAAAGATCATACTGTCCGACCAAAGAAAATTTGAACATTCTATTGGATCTGATAACCATAAAACAGCCAACATCTGAATGTGTCTTTATTTCCTCATCATTTAATTCTCCGCCTTAAGTCGCAGCCAATAGGACTGCTTATTTGGTTCCTGACCAATGAATTACTATACTTTGCATAGCATGGAAAAATATGTATAATTAAAAAATATGTTTATTTTATAGCAACACCAAACTAACATTATATGGAATTGGTTTTATATTTGTCTTTTACAGGTAGGTCAACTGAACTCTTAATGTTGTGGTTCTGATGTCCCAGCAGTATATATAACATGTCCCTGCAGTGTTAGCACTGTAAACACTGTCATTTCCAAGAAAAAGTCAGTGTTTATATTGCTGTCTAGGAACACCTCTATTGCCAGTCACTCAGATGGCCACTAGGGGTACTTCCTGGGTCAGTGCTGCACATTGTGAAGCACTGGCATTCAGCATCTCCACACTCTATCTCGATGCATTGCTTCAGTACATCTCTATAAGGAGATGTTTTGCTGTGCACGCACAATAGCCTCCCAATGTATTCCTATAGAAAAGCATTGGATTGGCTAAGATCATCACGATTACTCCCTGTAATTAAATGTTACTTCGTAAATGTAATCATGTTTCCATGCTGACAAATCTCCACGTTTACAAAGTATCTAGAAATATACGGTTAGGTATATTCTGTTGAATTTATTAAATGGATGCTCTAAAGCACTAAACCACTGCAACTCCTTGTGCTTGTACAGCTTGTTGTATCAACACATCTCATCATATCATACAGGACATACTTGAAAACAAGACAAATCTCAATGTACTCTTTCTGGTATAATATTTTATAAATAAATAAATAATTGTGTTAAACCATATCCCACTCTCTGCAGTAGCACAATGAGAAGGCTACATGTCTACATTGTAAGTGGGAATCGCGTTAAAGAGATTCTATAGATTTAGTTATACAAATGAATACAGACTCTTTTCCCAGGTTCGACCCGTAAAATGCAATATTCATGTCTTCATGTCTGTGATATAATATAATTTTCAATCTCCCATCTATTCTTTACATATGTTCTGCCGCTTGACGTGCCCCAAGATATTAATTCTGACAAAAAACAAGTCAAACCAACTGTGCAGCAATATGCCGAAGCAGATCAAGAATTCCTGGATTTTTATTTGACGTTGATACATTGTGGTAGCTGTCTCAGCGAGCAAGTCAGAGGACGAGCTGGACCCATCCATTAGCAACTCCATTTCCTGTATCTCAGTTCAATAATGGACTGAGGTTCACAGGGTACTGGACCGGACCCTCAGCTTTACACCTTGTTTATTCACCTTTTACACATGCAACAATAAAGGGTGAATGCATTTTACAAATGCCAACTGTGGCAGTCCTCAGGGGATGATGGATTTCAACTCCCATAATTTGACCAAGAATTAATGGAGCTGTAGGTTCTCTACACAGAAAAGTCACCATTGATTTCTTGGATTTAAAATTTTTCTGGCGTTAAGTGCCTGGCTGAGAATCAAGAGAGTTGCTGTCCACAGCACTGTGAAGGCCGGTAGTTTATAACATTAAGCACACTCCATTCTAATCTCCGAAGTATCTTCTCAGCAAGCTGCGCCATACCCAGTAACCCCGTGACATCGGTGTTGTACCCCTGCTTTTAGTGTTAATTATATCTTCAGTTATACAGACGGAACCCTGTTTTGAAGGACCACAAACTTGGTTCTTGGGGGCCGTAATCCTGACTGTGAACATGTGATCAAACAAGTAACACTGTGTTTCCATATGCCTGTGTAAAGATTTTCAGTGAGGCCGTGCAGTAACCGTTAACCATGAGGCTGTGTAATAATCTGCCTGAGGCAGGTTTAAGGGAGACCATTTGGGTAAACTCTGCATTTCTCGAAAACCTCTGTATCCTGTCTGTAGTCCTCCTATGGCTGCCACAATATCCATGTTTTCTGATCACGTACCCCTACTTGCTGCTAATGGCCAGTACATACAGCTGCTGCCTTGGAGTATACAGCATTCATATGCCACAGGAAGGAAACCCACAAACTAATTTGATTCAACAGTGTAAATTAACATAGTTTCCTCCTGCAGTATATTTATTCTGTAACCATCAGTGCAGTACTTGTCACGTACTACCCATTAACAAGTTATATTTGTTCACGAAAACCTGTAGAACTTGGCAGTTTTAATTCATGTGCTTCCTACCTGTTTCCATCCAAAATCCATCCAAAAATGTGTATTTGTTTTGTTTTATTTTTTCGTGTGATTGATACTTGACACACGCACGGCTTTGGGATCTTGTCAGAAGCTTGCGGTAATAAAGACTCAGGATAACTGTTCATTGCACACTCTGACACATTAAGAGGGGTGGCTTGACCATTTCTCTAATACTTTGGCGAAAAAAATCTTCTTTCCTGGGGTCCTATCATTCAGAATGTGTACTTACCAGAGCTTGGCCATTCTAGGTCCCATCATTCACATTATTTACATATAGAGAATTGGTTCCCCTAGGCCTGGCTCTCCCAGGCCCCATCATTCAGCATATATACATACAAGGCACCAGCTCCCCTAAGCCTGCCCTGCCAGGTCCAATAATTCAGTATATTTACATACAATGTAACGGTTCCCCTAAGCCTTCCCTCCCAGGTCCAATAATTCAGTATATCTACATTGTATGTATATATACTGAATGATAGGACCTGGGAGGGCCAGGCCTAGGGGAACCATTACATTGTATGTAAATATACTGAAAAGCACTCCCAGGTCCTATCATTCAGTATATTTACATACAATTTAATGG